TATATATATATATGAAAGGGTAGACATCAGACTATTAACAATTATCTTTTGGGGAAATTGTGAAATTATAAGAGCCACTTTTTATATTTCTTTGTGTGTGTGTGTGTAGTACCAGGGATCAAACTCAGGACCTTGCACTTGCTGGGCAAGCACTTATTCCACTGAGCTATCTCCCCAGCCCCACTTTCTATATTTCTATGTTATTTAAATTTGTTATTTAAACATGTATCACTTACATGTACACCCACGTTTATAAAGTGACAGGGACACAGTAACTCCCAACCTGCGAGATATCAGATGCACCAAGTTTGTGTCCCCAAATATCGAAAAATGAATTCCGAGGGACAAGATATAAAGTAGAAACAAGTTTATTAAAAGAAAGCACCTAGGAGCGGGGAGATGGCTCAGTGAAAGAAGTGCTTCCCCTGCAAGCCCAAGGGTCTGAGTTCTATCCCCAGTTCCACAAAAAATAAATAAATAAATAAATAAATAAAAGAAAGCACCTGAGAAACAGGAGGGGTCCTGACAAGGGTGGGCACCGACACCCCCGCGCATCCAGACTCGCTGGACCAGGTGCTGCTGGTCACAGTACAAGCTCAGGGCGCTGGCTGCCGCTTAGGGAGGCACAGAGCCTGGCCTCCTCCAGGACTGGCCTCCTGCTGGGCCTCACCTCTGGCCGGCTCTGCCGTCCCTGCCTGAGCACTGCCTTACTGACTGCCACCTCACTTGGCTGTCTGTTATGACAGTGGCACAGCTCACAACAGCTGCGCTGCAGAAACAGCCTCGGCTGACCAGTAGGGGGCGGGTGAGGGCAGTGCAGTGGGCGGGAACCCCATGAGCTGAGCAGTTTCAATGTGAATATGAATATTTTTCTGGCATAACAAAGAATAAAGTTATGAGATTTGCAGAAAAAGGATAGAGCTAGAAGCCGTGATGTTAAGCAAATAAGCTGGTCTCAGACAGTTAAGTGCTGTTTTCTCTCATGTGAGAAAACTAGTAAGTTAATTAACGCAAAGATGGCAGGAAAAAATGCATCACCTATGAAAAACAAAACCGACACCGATTCATGAACAAACTAAGTTTGGGCCAAACTTATCACAGAATCTAAATTTTGAATTTTACTTATATTGCCACTGTAACAATAGGATAAAAATGTACATCTTGAATAAAGTCATATTTGTAAAGGTATACACATTTATCCAACTCAAAGTATGTACTTAAAACTGTGCATTTCAGTATCTGTAAATTCTAACTCAACCAGTATGTGAAGTGTATAAACTCACCAGTGTGAATTAAAGGTAAGCCTAAGAAACTTCAAGCCATAGATGCTAAGAGTGAAAACCCCACCTAGTGCTGTCTGGTCTTTCGCAAGCCATACTGGAAGTCCCCGACGTTTATATCTGCATAACCTGAGTCTTGTGATAAATAAATGCAAATTCAGGTTCATTTGTGCTAGGAGATGTAGGTCTCAAACTGGGCACCCTGAGGCCACCTTGTCCAGCAACGCCTGCGACCCTCAGCATAGGGTTTTCCCTGGAGGCCTCAGGTACCAGGGCCACAGGGCCTCAGATTTCTCTGCTCCTGCTGTCTTTGCAATCAGCAGGGAGAGGAAAACTCCCCTGGGCTTGGCGCTGAGGCAGTTTCCAGGAGCAAAGTCACTCCTCGCTCCTCACTGCTGCCAAGGCCAGGATTCCGCATAAGGCTTTGTAATCTGATTTAACTTTCTGGATCCCACACGTTCCCAAATGTGTGCTCCGATCAGCTCTCGCTGAGCGGAACGGCTGTCCTGTTACACAGGTGGGTGATACTGATCCATTATTTAGCTCTCTGGGTTTTTGTGTGTAACTATAAAAAGAGCTGATGAGACTGTCCCTGGATGACCCAGTTGCTCAAGCTCCCGAGGCCTGGTTCCTCCCGAGGGCATCCCCGGCCCTCACCCCACAGCGATCCCAAACTCTACCCACCCCCACCCCAGTCAGCGCTGGGTTGCAGTTCTGCTTCTTCGTGCTTCAATAATGCAGCCAGAGCTCAGGAACTGCAGACCTGAGGTGTAACAATCAGGCCTTTCTGTTCTGGCTAAGCCTGCTCCCCGCTGCTAGCTCCTTTTTACCATGCTCCTGCCGCTTCTAAAAGGCCTAACAGCGCAAAGAGGCTCGCTGGTTCTGTGCCCACACTGTCCGGAGCCCCCCAGCACCTTGCAGCCAGCTTGACCCAGAGCAGGTGCAGACCTGTCTCAAAGCGACTGTCCCTCTCCCTCCCCCACAGCACAGGGTCTTACCACACGCAGTGCAGGTAGGGGAAGTGGAAGGAAGACAACAGCTCGCAGAAGGCCCGGTCGCTGATCCAGCAGAAGAGAGCCAGAGTCCACCAGAGGCCAGAGAAGAGGCCCAGCTTAAAAACACGCATGTTGTCACACCTGTGCGGAGGCAGAGAGTGGCTGGCTGTCAGCACTGGCTGCCTTGGAGCCTTTTCCCTCTCTGCCTCCCCCACCCCATCCGCCTGGGCCCACCACAGGACAGGCGCTCCCCAGATGAGTTCCTCAGGACGGGAGGCTCCACACCCTGCCCGCCTGGCCTCTGCTTTCAGGACTCAGAGGCCAAGCTCCCCTCTTGCACGCATACCCTGGTGTCCCAGCCAGCCCTCAACCTGCTGTGTCCTGGGTGAGTCCTCATCCCACCCCTGCCCCAAACCTACGTCCTTCTGGTCATACCCTTTGTCATACACCTCACAGCTACTACCTCCTCCCCAACAGCAAACTATGACCCAAAGCCATCCTGTCCCATCTCCACCTGGGTTCCAGCCACGAGGGCAGCAGCCAAGTGGGACAAACAGGAAGTGAGCACAGCAAAGTACCAGCAGAGTTGTGGCTGCGGACAATGGCCAGCCCACTCTCTCCCAGGGGAAACAATCACTTCAGGTCCCATGGCAAGCAGCGCCCCTGGACCAGAAAGCCCAGCTAGGGTAAGACACCCAGTGGTCACCACCAGTGGTGGCCAGCCATCTGGACCCACCCTTCCCCAAGTGCCTTCTCTCCAGGCGCCCCGGTAGATCAGTACTAGCTGAGCAGCCTACTTGTAATCCCATAGGGTGATGGCAGCCTGGCCCAGTCGCACCCATGCTGTGCCCGCGCTGCGTAAATTCCCTGACATGGGGTGCTGTGGCCACCTCCTCAGGGCCGGGCTGGGAAGCCAGGGAGCCTCTCCTCTCCCCGCTGCCAATGAGCTCTCCCAGTGGCCTCCTTTGGCTCCCAACTGCAGCCCTGCGCTGCGAGGCCAGGGCTTGGCGGGCCAGCAGTTCTCCTTCCCCCTCTCACCAGCATCATTCCTCCAGTCTTGCTCCCAACCCTTGCCCCCACATTAGGTTCTACCATTTCTAGGGGTTTTGTGAAAATATCAATTTTTTTAAAAGCAAGGCAAAAATCATACATACAACAGGCCCTACTGTAGGACAGAAAGGTCTGAGAAAAGCCTGTTTCTTCTCTTTCTATCCCTCTATTATATTCTCAAAGTTTTCTCTTGGTAAAATCACTCTTGCCATCACAGAAAAAAATATATATTTTAAAATATTTTAAATGCCGCGAGTCTCTTGACAATGACCTAGCGTAAATTTTAGTAAATGTCAGGTCATGACCCAAAATCAAAATAAATGCCTGCCTCTCAAGGATGACAGGCCTGGAAAGGATGATGAAAATATAGAAAGAAGAGACCCAGCGCCAGGGCTGAAGGCCGAAAGGAAACGGAAAGCGGAAGAAGACCAGCCCTTCCTGTGCTCGGAGCAAAGGCAGGAGGGCCTTCAGCGGGATGCTGCAGGTCACGCGAAGGGCAGGCGGAACCCCGGAGCAAACGCGGAGCTGCCTGCCGAGGGCCCCTCTCGTCCGGGGAGTTTTGGGGGAGCAGGGAAACAACCACTTCTTCCCCGCTGGGACCAGCGGTGGACTGGAGGCCGCCTCGCCGCCTGCCCACGTCCGCAGAGCGGCAGTAACACTAAGGATTTTCTGATTAGGATCCGGGCGACGGGCGAGCAGACCCGCGGGCGCCAGGACCGCAGAGCTCCAAGCCGAGCGGCGGCGCGCCCGGGCCAGACTCGGGGCTCTGGAGACCGCGCGGGAGGCGGGCGGCTGAGGGCGGCCGAGCGGAGCGCGGGGACGTGGGCCTTCCAGGGCAGGCCTGCGGCCGCCCTCCCTCCGAAGCGTGTCCTGCGTCGCTAGGCAACGTCAGGTAAGAGAAACTGGCGGGCTCAAGTGGGCGCGCAGGACGCAGAGCCGGGCGGGGCTCCAGCGGCGGTGCTGCGCGCTGCTGCGGCCAGAGCGCTCGCGGAGGCCCGGGCAGGGCAGGACGCTGCTTGGGGGCCGGTGGATTCTTGGCGCTGCGATGGTGAGGCTTAGGTCAGGCTGGCAGTCAGAGAGCTAAAGGCAGAGGGCACTGGGCTGCAGCAGAAGTCTGGGAGCGCTGCGCACGGACGGCAGCTCGGCGAGGTCTTCCCGGAGGAGAAAGCACCGCTGCCTGCGCTGCGATAGCGGAACACAGCTGCTGCTGCTCACCGCGGGCAGGCCGC